TTTTTTTTTTTTTTTTTCCTGAATGGAAAATAGATAGCAGGAAACTTAATTATTCCTTGGTACTTTATGTCCTCTGCAATGCAGTTGGCTTGCCTAAGTTACACATATGTGTATCTTTATGAATTTCAGGATATGACATTAATCATCTGGCCCGAGAAGCTCAAACTCGGTGGCTAAAGCCAGTTGAAGTGTATTTCATACTACAGAATTTTGAGGAGCACCAGCTTACACACCAAATTCCTCAAAAACCTGCTAGTAATATTCATAAATATTTTCTCTTTCTTTTGTTGGGCCCTTCACCTATACCATGTTCAGGGCTGTGAAAAGGCATCACTTTTGGCCCCACCTCACTAAATCATCTTATTACAGGTGGATCTCTTTTTCTGTTTAACAAGCGTGTGCTAAAATTTTTTCGTAAGGATGGTCATAGTTGGCGTAGGAGAAAGGACCAGAGAACTATAGCTGAAGCTCATGAACGGCTTAAGGTTGGTGAATTCTCGTCTTTTGGGGTTCACTTAGCTTTTCCCTTTCTTTTGTGCTTCTTCTTTTGTTCCTTTTTCTTCTTTTGTCATCATCAATCGGAACTCGAATGATTATATTATAATACTTATTAAGTGTCGTCCAAAAAACTCTAATTAATGAAACAGGAAAAGTTTGGCTTTTTATGACTGGAAAATTGAAGTGGATTAATTTAATATTTGTGCATTTAGTATTTCACATTTAACCTGTGACCATTACTGAGGGACAAGGCATCATGATTCTGCCAGCGTTATGCTATCTTTCTGTATGTAATACATCATTAGACCTGGTTGCAGTTGACTTTTACTAGACTTGCCTGTTGATGGGGTGTTCTTGCCTGGGAATCTTCTTGTTACTAGGTAGGGAATGTTGAAGCCATAAACTGTTATTACGCCCATGGAGAGAATAACTCTAACTTTCAAAGACGCAGCTACTGGATGTTGGATCCGTAAGTATTCACACGTATTCATGTCAGTAATTGCCCCACATAAATCTTTGTCAAGATTGAAGTTTAAAGACTTGTATAATTACATCTTTAGTGCTGAAGAATTCAAAATATTAACTCATGGATGCCAGAATTGTTTATTGGGTCCCAGAACTGTTTCTTACTTTCCTTTGCTAAAATAATTCATGTTCTAACAGGGCACACGAGCATATTGTTCTTGTTCACTACAGAGATATTAGTAAGGTGAGTCTTCTTGATTATAATCATGGGCAAAGCTTAATATTAGCTGCAGTTGTATGAGAGGTTGTTGCCATTTTTTCAATTTGGCAGCACTGTCTTTTAATATTCTGGTTTCAAATAGAATTGCCATTTACTTCTTTCCCCAAAGCCTCTGGTGGAGCTAAACTTTAACTATGCTTAGTACAATGTGTTAATGAGTACCTATCTTTAGGTCCAGGATTCCCGTCTGTGTACTGCACTCCATGACCTTATGACTTCATCATTTTATGAATATCATCTTAGGTTTTTAACAATCTTCGTAAAAATTTATTGTTGATTACAGGGGAGGGAGAATAATAGATCAACACCTCAATTCTCTACATTTTCATCTCCTACCTTCAGTCTCAGTCCTAACTCTTTTGCAACTGACCAGCCAGAATCTTCTGTTGGTATCGGCGAATCTCGTGAACTGTATCACAATGAATCAAGTCCAAGCTCTGTAGAAATTACATCTGGTCAACACATCATGAACAGTAGCATAAACCCATCCAATAATAAAGATAGAAGTGATGAGGTCAGTTGCACATCACTTCCAGATTTAAGTCAGGCGTTAAGAAGACTCGAGCAGCAATTGAGTTTAAATGATGACGAGACGAAAAATTATGATACATTCTTCATCGAGAATGAGGAGTCAAATGATCTAGAAGACGTGCTGCGGGATTATGAATTCCCTGGCCAGTCACCAATTCCAAATGGTTCACAAGGTATTTCATTACTTTTAATTAGTTTTCCTTTTTTCATAGCCATGTGATCCTCTGTGTTAATATATCTTTCACTTCTTCAGATGATGGAGACATTTGGGAAGAGATGCTACATAGCTCGAAGGATTTTCCAAATGATAATTTGCAACAACAATTTGGAAGAGCGGATGCTCGTAAGTTTCCTCACAGGAAAATCTCTTTATCATTAGTTTCGAAATCTTGATTATGCGGGAATTTGAATAACATCTTCCTGTGCCAGCTTCCATATTTATCCAAGAAACAGATTCACTGGAATATCCTGCGTATACTCCTGGCCCGCATGCTTACGAAAACACTTCAGACTCACACCCATTGCTATTCAAACAAGACGGGTTGGAAATTCCTCTTGAAAACAATATAAGTTTGACCATTTCCCAAAAGCAGAAGTTCACTATTCGTGAGATATCTCCAGAATGGTGTTATACCTCTGAGGGTGCTAAGGTATGTCATGAATGGTGTTGCTATGACTTGCATCCGTATTTTATTGGCTTCCAAAAGTATCGATTATTGGTTCGAAATCTACTTGCAGATCTTCATTATAGGATCTTTCCTATGCGACCCATCTGAGTCTTCATGGGCCTGCATGGTTGGGGACACTGAAGTTCCGGCACAAGTGATTCAAGAAGGAGTCCTCTGCTGCCATGCGCCACCTCACCTGCGCGGAAAAGTCAACATCTGTATTACATGTGGGAATCGGGAATCGTGCAGTGAAGTGAGGGAGTTTGAATATCGCCCTAAACCTAATCTTACTTCTCAACCACCTGAAACAGATGCTACTAAAACCTCTGAAGAGCTCTTGTTGTTAGTCCGACTCGTGCAGCTGCTACTATCCAGTAATACCCTTTTTCAAACACAAGATGCCTCGGAATCAAGAATCAATTCGATTGGGAAATCGAGAAATTCGGAGGACTCGTGGAGCCATATAATTGATTCTCTCTTAGTTGGCAGCCCTTCGACATGGAGAACTCTTGATTGGCTCCTGCAGGAACTTGTGAAGGACAAGCTGGAAACCTGGCTATTGTCCAAGCTACAAAAGAGTGGCAATAAAGGATGCTCATTGTCAAAGAAAGAACAAGGTATAATACACTTGGTTGCTGGGTTGGGATTTGAATGGGCTCTGCAGCCGATACTGAATGCTGGGGTGAGCATTAATTTTCGCGACATTAATGGATGGACTGCTTTGCATTGGGCTGCGCGGTTCGGGAGGTATATGTTTATTTCTTTCGCAAATTGCAGTTCAACTTTTCAATTTACAATTGAATCTTGAATGGAAAACACACTCACACACACAAACACAATGTTATGTAGGGAGAAAATGGTTGCAGCTCTCATTGCATCTGGAGCATCCGCGGGAGCCGTGACAGATCCCAACTCGCAAGACCCCACCGGAAAAACTCCGGCGTCGATTGCCGCCACCTACTGCCACAGGGGACTTGCCGGATACCTCTCGGAAGTCGCGCTCACCAGCCACCTCTCATCTCTAACCCTAGCCGAGAGTGAGCTCTCCAAAGGATCGGCCGCCATTGAAGCAGAGAGAGCAGTAGTCGACAGTCTATCAAAGTCTGCAGCGAATGAAGAGGAGCACGACTCCCTAAGGCACACCCTTGCCGCGGTCCGCAATGCTGCTCAAGCGGCCGCCCGCATACAGTCAGCTTTCCGGGCCCACTCGTTCCGTAAGAGGCAGCAGAGGGAGGCTGCTGCAGCTGCCACAGACGATTTCTCCTCCATCATAGCCAACGGGCTTTCGGCTGCATCCAAGCTGGCATTCCACAATTCAAACTCGGCTGCTTTGTCCATTCAGAAGAAGTACAGAGGGTGGAAGGGACGCAAAGACTTCATTGCTTTGCGTCAGAAAGTCGTCAAGATACAGGTTGTTTCACCATTGCTTATAAAAAGATTCAACTAAAAGCTTGTCTTAAAATGGAGTAAAAAGATTCAACTTCTTCTTTTTTTTTTTTTTTTTTTTTTT